TCATTGACAACATTTTCGTTTAAGGTTCATTGTTAATAAGTGAGGTAAATGCAATAGAAGCAGTAAAAAAGATGACAGCCCATAAACCTACATGTAAAAACCAGCTAAATATGAATTTTAATTATGCGGCTTGTAGGAACTTCCGTGCCTTCAAATTTTTACAGTATCATTGTTATGACTTTATTCATTTGTACACAAATTTTTATCCAATTCTCATTGTTTATTCGTTTACCGATAGAACTACTTTAATTATATCTAAGGATTTCCTTGACTTATTTTCATTTACTTTGACGTATTACTTTTGTATTAGTATATCTATTATCACATGAAAAATAAAGATTCCATTTGTTTATTCTAGTAACTTTATTTGTTTTGAGAAAAAAAATTTCAAGAACAGATTTTTCTGCTTTTGCTTACTTACAAATAAAGCTTTGTAATAGATGTCAATCACATAAGAAAATATGGTTATATGTTTCTTGAAATTTCAAATAAAAATAGAGTAACTTACAACTAACAAGTAACTTGTAACTTACTTAATAGTAAAGGTCTCTCACTCCCTCCCTCTCTCTCTCTTTCTTTCTCTCTCTTTTTCAATAAATAAATTAAGTGTATTTACATGTAATCAGTCAGATCAAGGTTCTCTAGATTAATTTTGATAATTTCGAGCTTTATTTATGTGTAGATACAAAAAAATGTCATCATGATTAGAATTCAAAAATGTACGAGAGTGTGGGTAAATGTATAGTTACATTTGTATATAATCGATCATATCTTGAAATTCAATGCATAGATTATAATAAACCTTAGTTTTTTTTGTTTCGAGATACCCGTCACCACCTATGATGGAAAATCAGATCTTGATTTTAAGAATGACTTTTTTATTTCAATTTTAGAAAGTGCACTTCTGTTCAAAGTACAAATTAATGTTGTTTATAAATTTTTTGGGATGTTTTATGAAAAAAAACTGAAATCAAAAAATTTTATACATTAATAAAGTTTCAGGATGATACTTAAAAAATCAGGTATGTAGGTGTGCATTAGTATGAGTTGGCATATTTATATAATCAGTCATATTCCAGGATTGCATAATTACATTCAAATTAAAATCAAGATTATCTTTTCATTATTGAATGAATATCACTGCTAGAGAATCAAATTTAAGTTCACAAAACTAATCATTTTAAATATTAATCCAATGGGTTCTGCAACTTATATTTTTTTATTTTATCATATTCCATACTTCGAATTTTTAAAGGTCTTGAAGTTTAAAAAATGAAAAAGATTTTGTATACAATTTAAAAATATTTTATATGCAAGGTAATTATATTTTTATTCAGTTTTGGAAAATAAAAAGTTTCATGATATAATAAAAAAATGTCTTATACGTACTAAGTTCACAAAAAAAGTAATTACCAATAAAAGTAGTAAGCTTTGTGACTATAAATTGGCAGCGATTTTGAACTAAAATCAAAACTTCCTGCTCAATAAATATCTATCAAATTAAGTAGGATTATCACTCAGGAAATTGTTTTACAATGTTAGCAAAAACATCAAAACATTAATGCAACAATTAAATAGTGTGGTCAACTAAGTTGTATTAGATATTATGCGTTTGTGAGAGAGAACAGTTTTTTAAAAAAAGTGTAATTAACGTGATGTAAATTGATTAATAATTATCAATGTAATATCGAAAAACTAAAACTAATTCTTTACTTATGTGTTAATTTTAAGTTCTCATAGAAAGTTGCGATTTTCAAAGACATCTAGTGTGATGTTTTCTTATATTTGGCTTATTTTGGATTAAGTTTGATATTTGTGTTTTGTAGTACATATATTTTTCAGTTTCATGCGGATGGCAAACACTTGGTTAGCAAAACTTGATATTTTTTGATAAATTTATATGTGTTTCTTTGCCTGGTTCTTAAGTAATCGTTGATCAATAGTCTTACATTTTAGTTGGATGATTTTTTAAATACATTCACTAAATTTTGATTCCTTTAAAGTTTTTGAGTGCCCTGTATTTAAAAGAAAAAAGCAGCAGCTCAGAAATTAAGCAAGTATTAAAATAAAAAATATGAAATGTAAATGAAGTTCAAACTGTAGTTATAAAAGCTACTGAAATAGCTTCTGATTGTTAATCTATATAAATTGATTACCAGTCATTTCTCCGATTCCGTTCTTCCGACTGACTAAATTCCTAAAAAATCATTTTTTCCGAATCTAATTTACGATAGAACATATTTTAAAAGTACACTTGCCAACCCAAAAAAATATACATCTCACTAATGTATAAAGCAAAGTCTTAAAAAACGTTATAATCGCTAACCGCGCTAACTACTTGTTCGATTTTTCTGAGATTTTGAATAATGATTCTCGACACTTTCTGGATCGTTTTCGTATGGTTTTATTCTCTAAAAAATTAATAACAATAGCAACAAATGAGCTCAAGGTTAAAAAAAATGCTATCTTTATGCTTTGGTTCAGTAGGACCAGCTTGGTAGCGTTGACATAAAATCATGGCTACTTGTAATCAAAGTAAATCAGTGCGATAAAAATATTTTCGAGAAAAATGTCCAATACCATTGTCGTTCACTGGCAGTACCTGAAAAACAGAGCAGCAACTAGATTCTGAAGTTTTGAGAGCTTGCCCAAATCATTTTTGAGAAATAAAAAAAAAAAATTAAACGACTAAAATGACGTTAGTCTAGTCTTTCCGGTTCAAAAGTAAAAGAATAATTTTTTCAATGATTTTTTCACGTTTGTTAGTTCTTTTGAAGTTATATTTATGGTATTATAAAATTTTTTAGTCCTTCATTGCTCTGGGCGAACGCTCTAAACTTCAGACTCGATACAGAGCTTTTAGTTATGCAGCTGAGTATCGCGGCTACTGACGACACTCTGACGGTTTGCGATGGGCTGGTTACCTACGCTGATCTTGGATCTGGATCGCAAAGATGTCCAAGTACCATAAAAACAAAGGCGTTGTAAATGCTAGCATCCGTCGCATGATACCAGGAGACGCTTGACTAAAGCATAACTAGCTCCAATGCTTAAGGGCGTTGTGCTCATTCTTTCAACCAACCTGGTGCTGCCGAAGCACCTCTTGCTACATCATTAATCTGAGGAGAGTAACCTTAAAGAGTTAGGACAGTCACATCTTCTGGAAGTACCATCAGTCTTTGACTAAAAGTATAACAAAAAAGTATAACCACTGGCTCTTTTCAGGTCCATCATAGATCTTTACGTTCCCTAAATTACTATCAATCTCATCAGTCTTCTTAAAGGCCATGTAACGCTCAGTGCAACGACTGCATTATTTCGACAGCCAGTTACACTTTGGCTTTGTACTTTTACTGCTCTGCGGTTGGCTGTCAAAATAATAAACAGTAAACTGTCAGTGTCACTAGAATAAACATTCACATTTTTACTACAAAATTTAAGTGCACTGTTAATATTTTCGACACAAAAAAAATATTATAAAGTTAACGGGGATATTTAATGTTGAACCAAGCTTATGGCAATATAAAAACGAAAAAAAATGTGAAGATTTTTTATTTATTTAAGTGTAATTGTTGTACAGAAATAGTATAAAAAAAGAACTGCCAAAAAATAAACGACGGCCACGGTAGCACAGTGGCTAAGGTTGCGGTTCTTATAGCTCGGGACCTTGGTAACACAGGCTTTCGCGTTCGAGATCTGATCTTTACTCACTTGGCTCGCACCTCTGGAAAACCAATTTCTCATGTGCATATTTCCTAATGTGGTTCGATGATTTGGAAGCCACGTAAAATAAGGTCCATATTGCTGTGTAAGTGATTGATTCACATTAAATCTGAGGCGGTTTTTTAATATGCAAATGATGATAGCATGTACGTGCAGAATAACACAGCAATGCAGAGCCCATTGAGCACCGTTCTCAGAAATGACTGTAAACTGTATAAAAAAAAAAAAACTATACATGTCGAAAAAAGAAGTGTACAAAGAGACTGCAGAATGGGAATGAATTACTGGTTGAATGATACTAAAGTTGTAAGCGATATAATTGAGATGTATTTGATAGAAATTATTAGCAGGGTTTGTTGCATGGCAAATTATTGCATGGGATTGTCTCACAGTATCATACAAACGTACGTGTAAAACGAATACTTTACCCCTATATATTAAAAATAAGAATTAATATCGGAATAGCAAGATCAATGGATTTAAAAAAAAATTATTTCAACTTGCAAATAGAAAAAAAATTTCTACATCAGTTAGTGGACTCTAAAAATAAGAATTTCAACTTATAGTATTGTAAATCATTTGATACGTAAGTTCTTGGAGTTTTTTGTCGGATCTATTTAAGCAAAAAAATTTTATTTACATTTTACATTTTTCTACGTCTGAAATATCAAATAAGATACCTAAATTTTTGAATGAAACTAATGGCCGTGCTATCATAAGCGTTTATTTTGCATAACTAAATTAAAATCACAGTGCAGTGAGTTTTTGTAATGCTAAAAAACATTCAATAATCTTTTTTAAATTTTGTATGGCCGATTTTATTAATTGTTAATGTACAAATATAACAGGAAATCATTATTTGTTTTACAAAAATTATCATCATACAGACAAATTTTTTTTAGAGCTAGGGAAAAACCTAGAAACTTGTTCCTTCTTTATGAAATTTTATCACAATATGTATGAAGTTTCTTATTTGTCATAGATAATGATGACTATTTTGTAATTTTCACAGTTTTCTAAAAACCAGCAGTAAGCAAGCGAATAAATTTTATAAAACGTTAATAGCATGCAACAGTTTGTAATAGTACTCCCTATTGTAATGTTAAAACAAGCAAACTTATTGTAAGTTATTTGTTAAAGTAAATCCAATTACAAAACACTCTTTTGTTAAGATCACATTTATAATATTATAAAAATTAGTTACTAAATTAATCAAATCAAGCTTTTTAAAACTATTCATTTTCAATTTTCACGATCATTCAAACATATTTTTGCAGAAGCTGTAGACAAAGTAGCAGAAAGATTACTTGGACCATTTAACATTGAACTACTTGTGCAACCAATCAATTACAAAATTTCTGAAGCAATAATGAATTTTCAAGAAAACAGTAACGATGTATCACAGCGTGTTTTTGCAGGTTGCGGACGGCCGGTATTAGGTCGTCGTCGAAAACGGTCAGTTTTTAATGAGAACAACAATTTTGATAAATTGAAATCTATGAATGTTCGCAAAGATTTTGGTCCAAAAGCTAATAAAAAGGATGAAAATGATGAAGAAAAACATCATGAAAAGAAAGGCGAGGAACATACTTCAAGTGTTATTATTTTAGATAAGCTTGTTAAAGAAATAAAACAGCGTATTCGAGATTCCAGACAGTTCTGGCTGTACCTTCCATATAAATTATGCAATGATGGACTTGTTGTACCACCTAGTAATACTAATGATTGCTGGAATGGCACACATATCGATAAGTTAGTTATTTTTCTTACTATTGCATAGTAAGGCCGATTCTAAAAAAGCTGGTCAAAGATTGAAACGTTAAGCAACGTATTTCAAATCACGAACTAGGAGTTTTTTGGGGTCTTTGATTACGAATACACTGTCAAATTTATGACAACTTACCTCTTGACCCTTCCTTCACCACCCCCCGGCATAAAACATCGCACATTTTCAAAAAAAATCGAGTCATATATCACTGTCAAGGTCTTGGGGTCCTTGATTGTAAATAAAATGTCCAACTTACAAAAGTTTATCCCCTTCATTCCTAATTGACTACCCTCTGGCATAAAATATCGCACATTTTAAAAAGGAAAGCTTCTGTCGGAATTGCTTCTGTAAGACAAAGTTTGAAAGTCTGCAGTTAATCTACTCATCACTGTAGAGTTTTTTTCCTTATCGCTTCCAAATTCGACCAAATAATTAAACCAACTTTTATTTTTTCCAAAAATCTTGACTCTTTTCTAAAGCTACTTTCCTATCTTGCTTTAATTTTGGAAAATAATGTTCGAACAGTTTTTTTAGGAAAGTCAGATAAAATATAACGTAATTGCAGCTTTGTGGATATCAATATTTCGATTATTAAATATCGTTCTAATGCAGTTACATTAGGATTTTTTCAATTGCACCGTAAATCTCCCTCCTGTTTAATCAACTTCGTGAAGTGCTACTACCTAAGAGAAAGAGTGAATTAGTTGATTTCGCATTATTCTATTTGTTCAAATTATTTGTTAATGAATAAGTTTCTTACTTATTATTTATTAAATAATTATTTTAAAACTATTCTTAGTTACAATACTGCCAGAATATTGTAACAAGAAGTTTATTATCGTATATTTACATAAAATATTATCTAAGATTT